AGCCCAGTGCATTGATGTGAAAATTGTTATATTCAAAAAGTGAGGCCCACAACTATAAAAGGGTTAAAGACATATGACACTGCTTTCCATAAATCAAAGGCTCGCCCAAAATCAAGTTGAATTCATGAATGCCTAAATAAGCAACCTGGCTAATTATTACCTCCAGCCCGGTGTTCTAATTTACTGCTCTAAAAACTCATGGTGCTTTGCTACAACATTCTGACACTCGGAGACACGAAGATACAGAAGAATTTCCAGTTGACTTCAGTGGATAATGGATGTAACTACTGTATAGCAGAGAACGAACAGATAGAAAATGGAAATGAATGTTGTACAGGTTCATATGTTGTGTATAAATGAATTAACATGCTGGAAAAATAATGGTATTTAAAGCTTCACCAGTTCCGACAACAAGCTTCACAAATAACCTCGACTCCAAGAGAGATTTCCAATGACAATATTTATTTAGCACCATCAATGGAGATTAAATCACAAAGTTGTTCTAGGTAATGGGTTAGCGATTAGCACCGAGGTCTTTTCATTCCATGTCAGTGGACAGACAGAGCTTAGAGGTAACACTACCTTCATCCACCCTGGTGTTAAACTAACACACATCACCCTTCTAGCTCTCATTATATTATTATTGTGTTAAAGTTAACATGTAGGCGCCAACACTGCTTCATGGGGGTAAAGCTGAGAAGCACCTGGAGGTCCTAAAGAAAATCCGGAAGGATACTTGTTCCCATATGCAAAATGTAGGCATTCTCAGATCCGAATTATTATTTCAGGATATAAAATATCAATCCCCAATTTACTGGGCATTAGGTACCATATTCCTCATCCACAGTGATGTCACCAGTCCTAGCTAAAGTTGGATATACATGAGGGGTGTACACAAATTGGTGGTTTTAACCAAACCGGAGTATGGTCTGCCCCCTTGGTACAGTTCATTTCTGTAGTGCATGCTCTCCAGGCTGTACCAGGGTATAAACAAAATTGTGAATATGATATAATCCCACAAAAACCCAATCACACTCTGGATTCAAATTAGAAAAAACTTTCAACCCTTGAAAGCACAAAATTACACAAAATTATTCTAAGAAGAATCTCCCCCTCTTTAAACAAATCCCCAACTGAAATTCATAAATAGCCCACACACCTTAAAAGTAATAATATGTAGTAATCAAAACAACAATATTCATAAAGAAGTCCAGTGTCTCAATAGTTCAAAAATCAATAAAAAAAAGGGATGAATGTGATAAACTTGAAATTTTCTTATAATGTTTGATTGCTTCCGATGACTTTTGTGAAAACCTCAAAAATAAAAGAAACGCAAAATAGTGTATTACCATAACATTATATAATAAAAAAAAAAAAATACAAAGAAAGTGAAACACTCGTGAAAAATTGCAAACAACACTCGTGCTAAATCATGATGTGTTTCACTCAGTGAGAACCATTACCCACATGTAACACTTCTAATAAGTAAGGCAAATATACCCTTACCAACAATAAAAAAGAAAGCACCTTAAGATATCATCTGTAGGGATCACCCAACAAATCTTTCTCCTCCTTCACTTATTGCAGAGTAACACTGTGCTATCATCCCTCCATGGTCATTCGCAAGCCTTGATCCAAACATTCCAGGCTCCAATCATATATATATAATGACAATAGTGTAACTCTGTATATTTATAAGACCATACTGCTTTAATATATCTGCTTACATTTGAATATAATCAGAGATGCATTAAAAATAAATCCCCCAATTCCTGGGGATTACCAGGCAGTTCCCATGTGGAAAGTACAGCGATTTCCAGAAGTAAAGATGGCCGCCGTATCACTTCCGGTTCCTGCTCCTTGCGTCCGACGTCACTTCCCTTGGCGCGTTTCGTCACATCCGGGACTTAGTCATAAGGCTAAGCTTACACGTGGGTAATGGTTCTCACTGAGTGAAACACATCATGATTTAGCACGAGTGTTGTTTGCAATTTTTCACGAGTGTTTCACTTTCTTTGTGTTTTATACAGTATTTTTTTTTTTTTATTATATAATGTTATGGTAATACACTATTTTGAGTTTCTTTTATTTTTGAGGTTTTCACAAAAGCCACCGGAAGCAATCAAACATTATAAGAAAATTTCAAGTTTATCACATTCATCCCTTTTTTTTATTGATTTTGAACTATTGAGACACTGGACTTCTTTATGAATATTGTTGTTTTGATTACTACATATTATTACTTTTAAGGTGTGTGGGCTATTTATGAATTTCAGTTGGGGATTTGTTTAAAGAGGGGGAGATTCTTCTTAGAATAATTTTGTGTAATTTTGTGCCAGGGTATGTTTGAGTGCACCATACACAGGACTGCTTGGAAGAGGTGGTCCCAGGCAAAGTCCGTAAGGGGTGATGTAAGGTTTGCTTCAATGCAAATATAATAATTATTATCTACATTATTGTTCACTTCAAAGCACAGCGTGCTTCATCATCACAGTAAAGCCTGGGCCTAGAACGTTCTATGGATCACCAAGTATGGAAGAAGGGGTCACTATGGTTTGGCTGGCAGAGGTGATGTAAATGCTTTCAAGAACACTTTCTTTAAAGCACGGTGAGTGCAGACCAGTAGGGGGAGGGCAATCTAAATCAGGGATCTGAAAACTGTGGCCCACTTTTTGCCTTAATCTGGCCCTTGGGGCACTATTCCTTCCACTGATGTCAAAGATGGGGCACTATTCCTCCCACTGACACCAGCAATGGGGTACTATTCCTCTCACTGACACCAAACATGGGGCACTATTTCTCCCACTGACAGCAGAGATGGGGAACTAATTCTCCCATTGGCACCAGTTATGCCAATGCCACTCACACCAATCATGGGACACTATCCCTGCCACTGACACCAATGATGCAATTTTCTTACTCACACTGACCACTAAGTCTATGGCATTGTTTATTCCCACTGATGCCAGGGCATTTTCTACTCATACAGGCCACAGTCTGGCCCCCCTAAAGTTTGAAGGGCAGTAAACTGGTCCTTTGTTTTAAAAGTTTGGGAACCCTGATCTAAATCAAGCACAGTTCTGATCAACGATGCCCAATGTAAGTATATCAATTTCCCCATTTACTCTAAACAAAGTGGATATAGGAATCTTCCCTGCCAGCTATTGTAGTCAGAATGCCCAAACAGTGGCTGCATCAGACTGGATACCGCCTCTGTCTGGCTAACAATATTTCTGCCTGGATCCTTCAATTTTCATATCAAAAAGGATGTCAAATAGAGTGGTACCGACACAGACAACCACAGATTGAATTTTGGTTGGTTCCTTATGAAATTTTCTGTGTATATCCAGCTTTACTGATTTCGCTACCAAAAAGGCTTTGGTTAAGTTCAAAAGCTTCCAATTAAATTCAAACCTCTGGCAAACTGATAAATATCAAGCTATTCTACCCATAAAGAAGTTTATAATTGAGTTCAACCAGTCTTGTGATCCAAAGAGAGAGAGATGGTAGGTAAAGCTGGCCATAGAAGGATTGAATTTCGGGCCAGTTTAGCAGGGTCCAGCTGAGATTCGATCCATCTATGGGCAGGCTGGCTGTACTTGAGTTGATCCATCAATCGACTTTAGTACAACCAGCCTGTCAGATTTTTTATACGCAATCACTGCCGGCAGCTATACCCAAAAGCAGTGATCACTGTGTTCTGCCGGCAGGGAAGGCTCCCTGCCAGCAAAACACAACTGAGCTGCGGGAGGGATCAGTGTTGATGGGGGGTATCATGCGATTTTTTTTGCTGCAACCCGTGGTTGCAGGAAAGAAAATTGCATGATCTATGGCTTGCTTTAGAGACATTTTTTTACTGCATCTAGGAAGCAGAAATTGTTCCCTCTATTACTCCCCAGCATGTGATTGAAAAATAAGGCTTCATGCACATGACCGTATAGTATTCGGAGCTTGTGAAATTATTCCCCTGGGACCAGCTACTGATGCATAAAGCCGGCCATTGAGATGAATTAGAAGATGCAGCCATATGCAGTCATGCCCTGGGGGCAGTGAAAAGCACCTACATGTGCACTGACATATGACCCAAGTGCAGGCAGTGTGTGTTAGGAGAACTTGAGTGCACGTGAGGGTGCCCTACCCAACCCCATGAACATAACTACATACATCATCTTCTAATTCACCTCAATGGGCAGCTTTGCAGATCAGCAGAGGGTCATGGGAAAGACATTGCGCAGGCTCTATCTGTTGTACGGCCCTTGTACGGCTATGTGCATGAATTCTACAGCTAGCCATAGACCAGTGGTTCTCAACCTTCCTAATGCCGCGACCCTTTAATACAGTTCCTCATGTTGTGGTGACCCCCAACCATAAAATTATTTTCGTTGCTACTTCATAACTGTAATTTTGCAGTGGGAGGAGTAGTGCCACGTCATTGGTGTCAGTTGGAGGAATAGTGTCCCATCACTGGTATCAGTGGTAGGAATAGTGCCCCATCATTGGTGTCAGTGGTAGGAATAGTGCCCCATCATTGGTGTCAGTGGGAGGAATAGTGCCCCATCATAGGTGTCAGTGGGGGGAATAGTGCCCCATCATTGGTGTCAGTGGGGGGAATAGTGCCCCATCATTGGTGTCAGTGTGGGGGGAATAGTGCCCCATCATTGGTGTCAGTGGGGGGAATAGTACCCCATCATTGGTGTCAGTGGGAGGAATAGTGCCCCATCATTGGTGTCAGTGGGAGGAATAGTGCCCCATCATTGGTGTCAGTGGGAGGAATAGTGCCCCATCATTGGTGTCAGTGGGAGGAATAGTGCCCCATCATTGGTGTCAGTGGGAGGAATAGTGCCTCATCATTGGTATCAGTGGGAGGAATAGTGCCCCATCATAGGTGCCAGTGGGGGGGAATAGTGCCACATCATTGGTGCCAGTGGGAGGAATCGTGCCCCATCATAGGTGCCAGTGGGGGAATAGTGCCTTATCATTGGTGTCAGTGGGAGGAATAGTGCCCCATCATTGGTGTCAGTGGGAGGAATAGTGCCCCATCATTGGTGCCAGTGGGAGGAATAGTGCCCCCATCATTGGTGTCAGTGGGAGGAATAGTGCCCCCATCATTGGTGTCAGTGGGAGGAATAGTGCCCCCATCATTGGTGTCAGTGGGAGGAATAGTGCCCCCTATCATTGGTGTCAGTGGGAGGAATAGTGCCCCATCGTTGGTGTCAGTGGTGGGGGAGGAATAGTGCCCCAACGTTGGTGTCAGTGGGGGGAGGAATAGTGCCCCATCGTTGGTGTCAGTGGGGGGAGGAATAGTGCCCCATCGTTGGTGTCAGTGGGAGGAATAGTGCCCCATCGTTGGTATTAGTGACACCAATGATTGGGCACTATTCCTCCCACTGACACCAATGATACTTACCTTGCTGACCCCTGCTCCAGCCTGGGCTCGCTCGCTCCCTCCCTCTCCCATGGTACAGACACTTACCGGTCAGCTGTCTTCCTTCTCCGGCTGCTCTCCTCCTCTTCACTCGCTCGATCTTCGCGGTGCCGCTCGGCTCCTCCTCTCCAAGCTCCGAGAACCGCTGCCATAGACGGTTCGAATCTTGAATGACTCTAACCATGTATGGGCAGGCTGAATGTATCCAAGTTGACTGATCGATCAGACTGACAGATTTTACATGCAATTACTGCTGGTAGCTATTATAGCTACTAGCTGTAACCATGGTGTTCTCCCAGAGGGGACGTCTCCCCCCACCAGGAGAGCACAATGGCTCTACAGATGTCCCCCCATCAACACTGACCTGTAGTTGCAGGAAAAAAAGAAAAAAATGCTCCGTCTATGGCCAGCTTTAACGAGAAGCCATGCACTGATATGATCATTCAACTGCTATATTCTGTAAGCATGTTCAAACTGATTGTCAGCATAGAAAGTAAGAGGCCTAATTGGCTCTAAGTGATGAATATCATGTATAACTGGGTTAAATTGCATTTTTAATGTCTCCCTAGAGTTTAGTTTTAAAATCATAAATTTCAGAGACTCCAACTAAGCATGTGAAGAAGAAATGAAAATGAAGGGGTTGACTGACTATCAAAACAATAAGTAGATAAAAAGGTATATATAAAAAAATAATGAAGTATTATGTAAACCTCAATTTTTCTTTGAAAAGTCAAATTGGTACCACCAACATTCCCCCACCAGCCTTCAATACAGTGAGGCCACCTACTAGATCTGCAGTTTTTACTTTTGACACACCATTTTGACAGAAGATAGCCATTGAAAATCAATTTTTTCAACCTATTCTCTGTTTAATTTGCCCACATTTGTGTCTGCATTAGGTTACAGGCCACTATTACATGGTGATTTGTTATATCTCTCGGGAACTGTGATAGTAAGATTTCCTGCTGGCTCTGTGTCCCTAACATGCTCATTACTGGGCCAAGTGATGATGATGTCACGTCTCCCATACCGGCTGTAAAAGAAAGTGAAGAACGCAGCAGTGAGAGTGTGACGCCCTAGTTACAGTCTTAGCAGAAGGGTGGAGACGGGATCTGTTAAAGAGAAATCTGTTTGTGAGAATACTCGAAAGTTCTAGCACACCAGCAGGTGCCTTAACCACTTATTTAAATGCTCACAGATAACTAAGCGCCTGTCGCTATTCTTCTACACATGAATACTGGACTGCAAGACTTGACTCGTGGACCCAGTCAAAAGCCGGCCATATGTGGATCGAAGTTTGGACATCTCAGCAGGGACCAGCCAAATTTCTATCCATGTATGGGAAGGGTGGTTATACAGAAATCAGTCTACCGATCAACTTCTGTACAACCGCCCAGTTGGATTTTTCCAGCTTCCAAATAAATTAGACTTCAGACAATCTGATAAATATGCAATTCAAATAAATATTTATGTTAGTCTACTTTTCAAACAATTTTTAGTTGAGTTTAGCTGGTCTTGTGATCTGAAGTCCCCTACCAACATCAGAGGTAAGTTAGTGACCTTCTTCTGGGATGTCTCCTTGCTGTAAAAATACAATAACTCAGTGGGGAGGATTCCTCCATACACCACGAATATGTGGAAGGGGTAATCGAGTTATTTTTTTTCATTCAACTTGCCAGTTGAAAAAAAAAAAAAAAAAAAAAAAAAAGAATCATCTATGGCACGGGTGTCAAACTGGCGGCCCTCCAGCTGTTGCCAAAGTACAAGTCCCATGAGGCACTGCAAGATTGACAGTTATAAGCATGACTCCGAAAGGCAGAGGCATGATGGGACTTGTAGTTTCGCAACAACTGGAGGGCCGCCAGTTTGACCGTGATCTATGAGTTGCTTAAGACCTACACCCCTACCAAGCTATGACCAGAAATGACCAGTTCAGAAATACAGCCCATGAATTTAAAAGGTTTAGTCTTAGATAGAGCAGAGAAGAGTTCAACCACCTGTCAGTTCTCGTTGCTTGTGTCCAATTGGGGAGATTGGCAATTGACCAATCCAACCAAAATGAGGTACCATGTTTGGGTTGCCAAGATGACAGTCTGGTTGTGCATGTATGTCTACCCATCCACAAATGTCTATTGATGAAAGCATGAGGTTCAAGCTTGCTGCTACCATGGGTTCGTAGTAAATCTTGCGGGTTTGAAATGTGCAGTTTCGGCAAATGTATTAGGAATTTTCTCACTGTGGTGAATTCTTTCAATCATAATGGGTAATGGGCCTTTAAATCAAGGGTATCTGGGATAAATGGGTCAATATGGGACTTTTTGATAAACCAGCTCTTTTTCCATAAAGGAGAGGAGACAGACTAGTCAGAGTATTGAAATCTGCTGTAGGGAGAGCATAGGGAGGGATGGCAAACTGCATAGGGAGAGAATAGGGCCGTGGTTAGGAAATAGTTTAGGTTGGACTGCTAGCTCATCATTTTTTTATTTTTTGTGGATAGGGTTTTTTTTTTTTTTTTAAATTTGGAGGTGCCCGACATGCATCAGTCTTGTTGACTTTAGTTTGCAGCACGCTGCGCAATTGCTGCGCAGTAACTACTGTGCATTAAACCAACAAACAAACATTCACCTCGTTACTACCACACTGTAAACAAGTGCTAGGCAATTTCATTTATCTTCAATTAAAAAAAAAAATAAATAAATTCCGTTTTCGGCTAGGTTCACACTGTTGCGGGTGTTTGCAGGTATCGCAGTTGTCCCCACATCCACAACCTAAATACACTTTTTTTTTTTTTTTTTTTTTTTAGAGTTGCATGGGGCTGCCATTCATTCTTAAAAGCACCCCCATGAATCTAAAACTGTAGCATTTTTGCAGGTGGGGGAACCACTGGGAAATCGCATGTTGATTCCCCAGCCGTTATGGTTTTAACATGATGCAGGAACCTATTTATGAATGAAACGCAGGAAAGGCAGTCCAAATAGTGCCTTGAATACAGTGAAATCTGGGGAAGCACTACAGGAGGGTCCCATCCATATGACATTATAAAATACTGAAAGCCGGTTTATTGAGGAGTGTTGGTAAGGGTATGCATTCCTTACTATAGTAGAAGTGTCATGGTGTGGATTTGTTTTGGAGCACTGAAAAGTGATTCACAATAACACAGTGTTTTGCACTATTTTTGAATTTACGTTTGTTCACTTGATTCACTTTTTACACGAATTACCAAAGGGAAAATTATATTCCTATTTGGATAATCACTAGAGTGGTTGTCACGAATATTTTGTTGTACTAAAAAGATAATACACTATGTGATTTTTCCTTTTTTTTGAGCTTTTATCATCGTGAGAAAGGATTGGAAGGACTTTCATTTTTCATTTTTATATTTTTTTCATAATTTTTGGATTTATATTTATTTCTTTTTGGACTTTTTTATATATTTTGAACACTTATAGCAAATATATGTATTGTTTTATGGGGTGGATTGTATAAACACTAGTTTGTATAATATTTTTTATATAATTTTGGCACATTTTTATATTAAAGTCCTTAATAAACCCACAAAAATTCTTCAAGTTCTCCAAGAAAGTACACCACGTGTACAAAATTAAATGTCCCCCCTTTTGGGTGTGGGGACATTTCATTTTGTGCACGTGGTAAAATTTATTGGAGAACTTGAAGATTTTTTGTGGGTTAAGGAATTTATTTAGGACTCTTTCACATCAAAAGTCATATTTTGATATTTAGTTTTATTGTTTCATTCACTTTATGATATTTTGCATTACTGAACCACTTTAAGTTGTTCCTTTTTTGATCACATTGATTTATTAGAAGTGGCAGCAACGATTTGAGCACCAATTGTATTTTTTGGCACGTTACTTTAAAAGCAGTTTTGTTTGTTTTTATTAACAAGTTATACCTGTTTTAGCTTTACTTTTTTTTTAAGAAGATACCTTTCTATGGCAGTGCCCAGGTTTCCGTGCCTTGTGTTAAAGAACTTCATAATTGGGCAGCACACTGGCTAAATGGTTAGCACTTCCGCCTGGCAGTACTAGGGTCCTTGGTTCGAATCCCAGCCACGGTACCTCCTGCCTGGAGTTTGCATGCTCTCCCTGTGCCTGCGTGGGTTTCCTCCGGGTACTCCGGTTTCCTCCCAGACTCCAAAGACATGCTGGTAGGTTAATTGGATCCAGTCTAAAAATTGGCCCTTGTATATAAATGTAAGTTAGGGACCTTAGATTGTACGCCCCTTGAGGGTTAGGGACTGATGTGAATGTACAATATATATGTAAAGCACTGCGTAAATTGACGGTGCTATATAAGTACTTGAAATAAATAAAATAAAAAAATAATTAGCCCTACAAGTGACCAGGACTGACAAACAAGTCCCCCCCCCCCCCCCCCCCATAGACTCCAATGATGTTTTGTAAACATCAAACTTCGAGCAATATTCATGTAACAATTTGCAAACCAAACCTGGGAAGATTTGCTAATCCCTACATTTCTATCCATTAGACCTAGATTTTAGAAAGGAGCCCTTAGAGGACTAAAGCTGGCCATACCTGCCATTCAGCCAATTAATGCTGTATTGGCCGGTATGTACTCCATGGGTCGGCAACACCACAATTTCTCAATTGACTTTTACCAAAGTAGCCGGGTGGAAATGTGTCTCCCGAACAAATCAAACGCAGGTACTGTTTGGATATTCTGACAGCTGCAGGTGATGGATGTCAAAACACAACA